CTGGCAGGGTGAGGAATCACCTGGATGGGAACTGCAGGAATATTTGGCAGAGCTTTGGTCACCCCTGGCAGGCCAGGGGTGCTGAGACAGAGTTGAGGCAGGCCACAAGTGTGGGTGAAGGTGCAGTTCTCTAGCAATAAATTACATTTTGAATGACTCCTCCAGAGAAGTGAGAGAGTTCTTCTGTTCTGGACAGTCTATAAGGAATATCTCGTGCTTTTATGGGTTTGGTTCATTTGTGAAATTCTGGGATGTGACAAGCTGTGTGTCTTTGTGTCTCTGTATCCCTTCCCTCGTGCATGTCAGGGAGAACAGCAGATCTGTGTGGACGTGCTGGTTACAGTGACTTCTTGGCTCAGATTTTATCTTCAGAGTCTGAGCAGGACTTTGTGCTTCCTGCACATTGGCTGAGTAAATCCTGGTGGATTTCTGGGGTTATTGTAAACCATCAGAAGCTGGAAGGATTGGAGATGTGATATTTTGAATAGCTTGATGGGTGTTTTATAGAAAATTTTCTTATATAATTGTGTAATGTATATTAGGCACTGGGTTGGGCCAACATCAAATTTGGGGTTAAGAGAGAATTTGCTCCAGCTCCAGTTGCATGGAGGGTGTTGTTCTGTGGCACAGGCAGTGCAACTGAAATCTGGCTGTGGGCATCACTTCAGGCATTGTGTTTAGGGTTCTGAGGATCTCTTTATCCAGATGAGGCTTCTCTGTTCATATTGTTTCTGGGCTTTCAGGGCTTTTCTCATTTGCAGCTCCTCTTCCCAGGCTGTGGGATAAACCAGGCACGAGCCTGTCTGAGAATCACAGAATTGTTTGGCAAATCCCTCTGAGCCCATCAAGTCCCACCATTCCACAACAATGCCCAGGCCACCACTGACCATGTCCCCAAGTGCCACATCCACAGGGCTGTTAAATCCCCCCCAGAGATGGGGACTTCCTCCTGCCCTGGGCAGCTGTGCCAGAGCTGGACAGCCCTTTCAAGGAGGAATTTTCCTCAATATCCAACCTGTGGCACAATCTGAGGCTGTTTTCTCTTGTGCTGTTCCTTGGGAGAGCTTACAGGAGTTGGGACATCACAGAGAGGCTGTTGCCACCAGAATGAGGGAGGGTTGTTCATGGTTCTGAGGAAGCATTCAGTAGGTTTTCAGGCATTTTTGTAGCTTTCTGAAGGGACAGACTTGTAGGGAGTGGGGGGATACTGAGGAAAAGTCTTGCTGCTGTCTTAGTGGGAGGAAAGTTTTCACTGGGAGCAGTGAAAACTGGTGATGACCGTTTAGGGTGAAGCTGCCCTGGGGCTTGCCCTGCTCGCACTGGCTTTGCTGTTCCCCCTTTCCCAGTCCTCCAGCCACAGCTCAGGTGTGCTCTGCCCATTCCCTTCCCCAGTGGAACCTCGACCAGCTTATGTTCCATGGGTGGGCTCTCACTGTGCTCTCTTCCCCAGAGTGTGGCTGACTCCTCCTGGATCACAGAGCTGCTCTGGACCTTCTTCGTTCCCTTCACAGTTTATCAAGTAAGGTACTACGTCTCTCTCTTCCGTTTGGGGCAGGGTTGAGGGTGGGCAGGGCTGTGGTGTCACCCTGGCACTGAGAACTCCTCCCTGGGTGCCTCAGCAGGGCTGGGCTTGGCACCATCTGGGCCTGGCCCAGCTTCTGATGTGGAGGGGGTTCCTGTTGGGGAAGGTGAGGAGTCTCAGTCATTCCAGGTGTTTAGTTCAAGCTTCCAGGTGGTCTGCAGTGATTCTCTCCAGCAGTGCTGGCTCCCAGTGTCTCTGTCTCTCCCTACAATCCCTTGGGAGTGGAGTGGTCAAAAAAGCCTGGGAGAGCCCAAGCTGGTTGAGTATCTCTGCTGTAACGAGGGCAGTGAAAGAGACTGGGAATCAAATGTAGGGCTTGGTGTATTTCAGCCTTTCCCTGGTTCTGTGTGCCTGAATTTGGGTGACCTGTTTCCCACTTCCATGTAAATGGCCACGGATCCTCATTAAGGCATTTCTGGGAACTGCAGATCCCTCGTGTTGCACTCGAGCTCCAGCGAGCCAGATCTGCCTTCTGCCATGTCCTGGATTTGGGAGTGGGTGTTGGGCTTTGTGGGGTGAGCAGGGAGGTGGGGATGGCGTGGCTGCCCCTGGCAGGGTGTCCCCAGGGCTGGCTCCATGAGCTGTTGTCCCCACTCAGGTGGATGCCGTCTGTCCCCAGACAAGCGGACGAGCGGAGTGAGGACTTTGCGCTCCGAGTTCAGGAGGTAGGAATGTGGTGTGGGACTGCTGCACTTCAGGGCTGGGCACAGAGGAGAGCAGGGTGCAGGCAGAGTTGCAGAGGACATTTCTGGATGTCTGTGTGTGCTGGGAGCTCTGGTACATTGTTGAGGTTTTTTTTGTTTTTTTTTTCTTTTTTCTTTTTTTTTTTTTTCTTAAGATTGGGATTGAAACCGTTCAAGATGGTATTTTGTGATTACACTTAGATTTTGTTTTTATAAGTAGTGAGTTTTATAGTATTTTATTAATAAGTTATAAAATTTTTATGTATTTATTTTTATAAGTTTTATTTTTAACTTAATAATTAACTACATATGTTTTGTAATGTGGATTTTTTTGTTTAAATATAAAATACTACTTAAACTTATGAATAAGGACTAGTTTTTGGTTTAAAACTTTTATTTTGTTATATATATTATTGTATTCTAAAACCAAGTTTTTTACTACGTGGTGTTACACACTTCTAATCAAACTACACACTCATAATCTTAGTTCTGTTATTTAATTTTAAAACCTTTTTCTACAGCCTCAGGTCAAATGCAGGGTTTTCTTGGGGGTTAAAGTCTGTCAGCACAGAAAGTCTAAAATTCTCAGCATCTAGGACTCCAACAGTACATATTTATTGCCTCTTGCAAGAACTCAGTTATTTCATGGCCTATTTGCCACCCCACATTGAGCCTTTCTGCAGTTGTCAGGACTCTTCCCATTGAGTCCAGACCTTTCACTCCCTTTTTATAATGCCCCAAATCATACAAAGCAGTTGTTTCTCCACTCTGCCCATATGTGCTGGGTATTTCACAGCTCCAGACGTCTCATATCTCCTTGTCAGCCCGTTTTGGCAGGATGATATTGCTATTCCTGCTCCTTCTCGGGCTCTGGAGAGATCAGTTCGCAGCCCTCTTGCCCTCACCATCACTCCACGTACCCCTGCCACACTCCCAGCCTGGAGGGGCTGCCTGGGCTGTGTGTGGTGTGTGTTTTTAACGTGTGATTCCTCTGCATTCCCCAGCTCTTGGCCATGGAGCTGGGTGTGGTATCCACACGGATCACCGCTGCCGACAGGACCGAGCACATGAAGAGGCTGAGGCACACGGCACGGCTGCCCTTTGCCCCAGGTGGGGATCCTGGCTATGGAACCTCTGCTTTTGGGGGGATCTCTGTCTGCTCTCAGTGACAGACTGCCCACTTTGAATCCCTCACCCTGTGCCCGCTGTCCTTTCTCTGCAGCCTTGAGCCAGCGCCCGGCAGCCCGGCCCAGGGTGCCCCCCACCCTGCCTGGGGGTGCTCCTGAGGACGTGCGGGTCGTGGCCATGGCACAGCAGGTCAAGGAGGTGCTGCCTCACGTGCCCTTGGAGGTCATCAAGACAGACCTGGGTGAGCAGGGACTACTGGGCTGGCAGCAGGACGTGGGAGCACCTTCTGTGGTCTGAAAGAGGAAACCTTGTCCCCGCTGCACTGGTACACACCGGCAGCCAGGATGGAGCGTCCTGATCTCTAACGGGTCCCTTTGTCCCCACAGTCCAAACCAACTGTGTGGACACCACCATTGCCAACTTGCTGGAGGGGAGAGTTCCCTTCTTCCCTGAGAGCAAAGAGGCTGAAGACCTGCCTGCCCCATCTACCTCCCAGGCTGCAGCTGCTTCTGGCATCCAGGGCTCTGTGGCTGCGCCTTCTTCCAAGGTATTTTGGGGTTGTGTCTCCCTGCTCTGGTGGCTCGTGTTCAGGACTAGCCAAGGGCACAGAACCTGGCATGCCAGGTCCTTGCAGAGCCACCAAGGAGGTTCCTGCTTCATCTGTCTCCTGATGGCTCCCGTGCTTTCTCTTCTAGCCGGCTACAAAGCAGTTTGCAAAGTCCCCCGTGGAGCGTCACCTGTCCTTGCAGGAGAGGAAACGAGCCTTGTACGACTATGCCAGGAGGTGAGAGATACAGAAAATTGAGGATGTGTTTGAGGGGAAGTTGAGTGTGGCTGGGCTTGTTGGGCTCTGGATGGCTGAGGTGGTGCTGAGGGAACCATCCTGGGAAGCCCTAAGGGACACCTGGCAGGGACACAGAGATGCTGTGTGTTTTCTTGGGGACCATGGGCAGCCTGGCAGCCCCTCGCTGCCCTCACTTGGTCCAGCAGGATTGTCCCCAGGAGGGACTTGTCCCCATGTCCCTCCCAGAGCAGCTCCTGCTGCCTTCACCCGTTCCCTTGGGCTCCAGGTGAGCCTGGAACGAAACGGATCCGAGCAGAGCCAGGTGCAGCCAGGGAGCGCCCGGCCCGGGGGTGCTGCAGTGTCCCCGTGTCCCGGTCCCTCGTCCCGGTCCCTCGGAGCTGCTTCCTGGCCAGGGTGGGTTCGCAGGAGGCTTCTCGGCTGCTCCCAGCCCCGCGGTGTCTGAGGCCGCTCTCTCCCGCAGGCGGTTCGCTGAGAAGCACGGCGCGGCAAGGGCCGGCGGCAGCCCCTGACCGGGCCGGACCGGGCCGGTGGCAACCCCTGACCGGAGCTCCGGGCCGGTGGCAACCCCTGACCGGAGCTCCGGTCCGGTCCGGTGTCACCGGGAGCGCGCGGGCGGGACGGGACGGGACGGGCGGGGCGGCGGCGCCCCCTGGCGGCGGAAATAAACGGCGGCAGCGTCCGGCGCGGCTCGGGCTGTGCGGGCACCGGGGCGAGGGGCGGGGCCACCGGGACAGGGGGCGTGGTCACCGGGACAGGGGGCGGGGCCACCGGGACAGGGGGCGGGGCCAGCGGGGCCGGACCGGCTCCGTGCGGCTCTGCACGCGCCGCACCCGACGCGCCGCACGTAGGCGCCGCTTAAAGCGGCAACGCGGCGGGGCCGGCGCGACCGGGCGAGCTGCGGCTCGCGGGCCCCAGCGGGCGGAGCCAGCGCCGCTTTAAGAGACCGGCGCCCGGTGGTTTTATTTACATGGGGGCTCGCGGGCGTCACGTGAGCGCCAGCGGCGGGGCCATGGCGGGAACCGGCGACGACGGTGCGGGGGGACCCGGGGCACCGGGGCGGGAGCGGGGCCACCGGGGAGATGGAGGTTTCGGGGCACCCAGGGGGGTTGGGACAATGGGAAGCCCGGGCGGGTCGGGGCACCGCGGGGTTCGGGACAGTGGAGGGGTTGACGTGCACACGTGGGGGTCTGGGTTACCGGGAGCCCCACCGGTGGTTGATGTGCGCTGTGGGGTGGGGAGCGGGTCGGTGGGGAGCCCAGGCGGGGTTTCTGGTGGGCTGACGTGCACCAGGGGTTGGGTCAGTGGGGGCACCGGGGGCTGATGAACACCGCGGGGGCAGAGGCAGATGCGGGTCCGGGGGTGCACAGGACATCCCGGGTCAGGAACTGCAGACAGGGGTGCGGGGTGTGCTGGGGAGGACTCGCCGCCGGGACGGGATGGAGTGCAGGGGTGGGCTGGGGGCAGCGCAGAGGCTGACAGCCCCACCAGGCTCCTGGGTGGAGCTGCGGTGTGGCCCAGGCTGCCCGGAGCCCGAGCTGGCACCTTCACCGTTCTCCTGCCACGCCGACGTGGAGCGGATGCTGCTGGAGGCCCAGCTGGAGACAGAGAGCAGTGACGGGTGAGTCCGGCTCCAGAGCCCTGCTGAGCTGTGGTTGGCACTGGGGGCCACAGGCTGGGCTCAGTGACTGAAGGTTTCTCTTTTCAGGGCCCTGCTCGTGCTGGGCTCCCCAGCCTGGGATGATGACAGAGCCAGCCATGGGAGTGATCAGCCAGGGGAGACAGAAGTGCTGGCTGCACACAGCCAGCCCCAGCCAGGCTGCCCCTACTCTTGGCAGGTGAGGGAGCTGCCCCTGCCACTCCCTGCTGTGCCCCCAGGCCCTGCTCTGACCTGCCCTGCCTTTTTCCAGCGGGATGTGCCAGAGGAAGCCAAGTGGAGGCAGCGACGCCTGACAGCGTCCCTGGGCTGGGCCTGTACCCGCTGCCCTCGGTACCTGTCCCCAGAGTAAGTTCTGTGTCCCACCAGCACATCCTGCTGATCCCCATCCTGCTGTCCCCGTGTCCCTGTTAACCATGAACTTTTCCCAGGGAATTTGCCTTTGTGTGCTCCCCCCAGCCAGTGCTGTGGAGCCTGCAGGGAGGTGCAGTGGGGAGGAAGAGGAGACTTTTCAGTTCAGAGCTGCTGCTGCTCTTCATCCCCTCGCTCCTGCTCAGCCACCTGCTGACCTTGGGGCTGGGGTGAGTGCCTGTGGGGCAGGGGGAGGAGGGAACACCCCTGAATTTGGGCTGCTCATCCTTGGGTTCACCACAGCTCCCAGTGGTCTGCTGCCATCTCCCCTTGCTCCTGGCTTGCTGGAGCCCAGTGCCTCACAGTCCCTCTCTCCAATCCAGGATCTACATTGGGAAGCGCCTGGCAGCCTCCTCGGCCAGCCCTCTGTGAGGAGCTGGGCAGGCAGCGCCCGCTGCTCCGCTGGGAATGCGGGGAGAGCCCGGCCCCAGCGCAGCCTGACCGCTCCCCGTGCTCCCCGTGAGTGTCCCTCAGCCCTGCCCCGGGGGCTGATCCCACTCTCCCCGTAGAACAGAACCCGCTGATGGCAGCTCCCAGCTGCAGGCAGCCCCTGCCCTCCCCAGCCCCCGGTTACGGGTCCAGGTCCCCCTGTAACAGACTGTAAATACAACTGAGCCCACCTGAATAAAGAGCCCAGTGTCTGGGAGCACAGCCTGGCTTGGGAAGTGACCATTGGGCTTCCCTGCTGCAGGAGGGTGAGTTCCTATGCTTTGGGGTGCTGCCAGCTGGGGATGAACCCCTGGCTGTGCTGTGGGCAAGCAGGGGTGGGTGCTCAACCCCACGCAGGTGCCCAGTTGATGTGTTTGCCCTTTATTAGCCATGGCTGCAGTGCAGAGGTGGGAGCTGTGACACCTGCCTGGTGCAGGTGGCAAGTGTGGGCAGGAGAGGTGGCACTGCAGAGCGTGAGGCTGCCAGGACCCGTGTACACACCTGGCTGGCTCCTGTGCAGTTCAGCTGCAGGATGGGGTGGGCAGCCAAGGGATGGGAGCTGTCCCACGAGTGGGGAGCAGGAATCACACAGAAACACCACTGGGGAAGTCACTGGCTCTGGCACAGACTGTGGGCAGCTCAGGTGGAGGGAGGGACGTCCTCATACATGTGTGGGGAGCTCAGCGTGGCTCCAGAGGCATAGGAAGCATCCAGGGCCAGGTGGGTCCCAGCCCCAGGGGACACCAGGAGGGTGGCAATAGCCAGAGCTGGTGCACACAGGGTGGCAGTGCTGCAAGAGGTGCTCCAGCAGGTGAGAATCAAGCAGGGCTGTGGCACAGGGGCACCCTGGGCAGGGCACAGACAGTGCAGGTGACAGCGGCTCAGAGCTGTGACAGTCGCTTGGATTTGGGTGGCGGCAGTGGTGGTGACTTGAGGCTCCTGTTCCCATCCGCTGTCGGGGATGGGGACGCCTGCGAGCAGAGAGGGACGTGAGGGGTGGTGGGACTGGGGACCAGCCAGTGCCTCCCCTCCCCAATTCCTCTGCTCCAGTACCTTCCCTGGGGCTGCAGCATCGCTCTGCTCCAGGAATGTCTCGTACACGGCGGGGCTGAACTTGCGGGGCAGGGGTGGGAGCTTGCTGGCGCTTTTCACACGCCCACCAAAGCCAGTGGGAGATGGGGACGAGCCTGTGCAGGCAGGAGAGGGGGGATGGAGGCTCAGCCAGCCTGGGGGTGCATAGGGCCCAGCAGGGAACATGCCTGTGCCACCACGAGGGGGTGAAGGGACCTGCCCTGGGGGTGGTGTGGGAGGGCACAGCCCCGCTCGTGGGGCTGTAGGGACTCTGAGGAAGGTGGCCTGGCAGGTTGTACCTGCAGCACCAGCAGCAGCTTGGCTTGATGGAGGCTGTTTCCTATCCACACTCAGGCTGCTCTCACTCACGTTGCAGGAGAGTCTCCACTTCTCATCCTGGGGCACAGAACCAAGGCTCAGCACCTCAGAGGGCCAGGCTGGATGGCAGCTCCTGCCCCTCCAGCCTTCTGCCCTTCCTTCAGCAGGGGCTGTGGGTGCAACAGGACACCCAGGGAGTGTGAGCAGGTCCCCAGGGCTGTGCTGAGCATCACCTTAGGCTCTGGCAGCTCCGAGATGGACTGGCGGGAGTCCTGCCGCCGGGAGCTGAAGATGGAGCTGGCACGGTTCTCCCTGCGCTCGTTCCTGTGGTCCTCGCTCTCAGAGGGGCCACGGGCAGGCTTTGGGGTCGGGGGTGCCTCTGTGCTGTGGGGTGACTGGGACAGGTGAGGGGCAGCAGGGGAAGGAGGAGCAGGGCTATGCCATGGACCAGCTGGAGCATCGCTGGGAGCAGCTGCACTCACCCAGACATCAGCACCATCCACAGCAAAGCTGAGCAGGGGAGGTTTGGGGGACAAGAATGGATGGCTCAGGTGACAGCAGAGTCCAGGGGAGCCTTGGGGCTGCACAGGGGGTGTCTCCTCCATGACCCCCATAGGGACAGGGCGGAGATGCACTTGGCATAAAGGGAAAGTAGAAGGGCAGAGGACTGGGGAGGTGAGAGAAAAGCCTGAGGGGGATGAGAGGGGACGACCAGCACTCCCCACTTGCCTGGCTCCGGTGTGGTTCAGCTGGTCCCAGTCAGGTACCCAGGCTATGGACCGGGGTCGGCCGCTCCGTCGGTCCTCAAAGAACATCTGAGAGACAGGCAGGAGGGAGGAGAGGGCAGAGCCTCCCCTGTGCTTCCCTGGACTCAGCCAGGGCCATCAGTGCCCTGTCAGACCACTCCTGCTTCTGTGCCAGTGCCAGCCACCCCCCAGCAGTGCTGGGCCTCCTCCTGCTGCCCCACATCTGCGATGGCTTGTCCAGTGTCACCACCACGGTGCCACTGTGAGCTGTGCCCGCCCCGTGCCCACCTCCGTGGCACTCACCATCTCTCGCACCCCGTACTGACTCTCCACCTTGGCCCGCAGCTGCTCGAAGCACTGCTCCATGCGCTCGTGGAAGGGCCTCAAGTCCTCTGTCACCTTCTGCCCGTGGATCCGGATGCCCTCTGCCAGCAGCGGGATCTGTGGGACAACGGGGACCCGTGGGGCTCCCTGGCACGGGGAGGGACAGCAGACAAAGGGGGCAGCTGGCCCTGCCCGAGGGATGCTGCACTTGGTACCTGCCAGGCGATCAGGTCCTTCAGCTTCTCGATCTTCCCCGCGTCCTCAGGGTGCTCCTGCATGTAGAGCTCCTGGAAAAAAGCCTGCAACGACCCTCCTCAGTGCCACACGGGCTGGGCATGGCACAGCAGTGCCAGCCCTAGTGCTGGCTGTGCCCAGCTGTGCCCACCACGACCTCTGTTGTCCTCACCTTCTCATACTTGCTGAAGCCCCCCATGACTGCGGGGTCCACGATGCCGTTGAGCAGCATGGAGAGAGGGTTGATGGGCAGGCTGGAGTCGTTCTGGTGCCGGTTGATCTCACTCATGATTTTCTCGTTGGTTTTCATCATGGTCTCAATGGCGTTTTCCAGGGGGGAGATGATGATCTGTGTGCAAGGAGGGGTCGGTGCTGCCCTTCCTCCTTAAGGCTGGCAGGGTGGGCTCTCCCCAGCCCGGCAGGAGGGACCCTTGGGGGTCACATCTCCACTGCTGTGCCTCCTGAGACCCCCACCTCTGACAGGGGAGCAAAGCCCATGCACAGAGCAGTGGCAGAAGTTGCTGACACCCCTCCAGTGCCTCTGCTGCTCCTCACACGCTGTCCCTGCTGCCCACGGAGCGTGGCACAGGCAGGACACGTTCCCCATCCTCAGCTGGAGCATCCACCAGGATCCCGAGAGGGCCCTGCTGTCCCCCAGCCCCCTCCTCACCGTTTCAGTGGAGGTGACAACGAACCAGCGCAGGATGCCAGGCAGGGGATAGGCTGTCCTGAAGGTTGTCCTCTCAATCCACATGTTCTGTGGGAAGAGCAGCAGTCACTCCCCACCCTTCTCCCGTCACCCTGCATCACCCCTGGCTGCCCCCACCTCCATGGGCACAGGACCACCACCTTCCCCATCCCAGGACCAGGGATCCCCCCATCCCTCCTCTGGACCTTTATGTCCTTGCAGGACCCCCAAGCTGAGGGTCCTGGCAGCTCCTCGCAGCACTCACTGCAAATTCATTGTCAGGATCATTCGGGCCCCTCTTGAAAGGCCGTGAGTAGCTGAACCTCTGGACATGGTTGGCTTTGTAGAAGCTGTGGGGAGGGAAAGGACAGAAATAGGAGAGGACCCCCAGTGTGTCACACCCCCGGGGAGCTGAGCAGGGGCTCCCTGTGCTGGACACTCACTTGGTGATCTGCTCAGGGATGCTCCGGCCCTTGAGGCGCACCTTGGCTTCCTCTGCTGGCTGCACGGTGAAGCACTGGATGTCTGAGGGAGTCAAGGAGCCACAGCACACACTGGAGGGCAGAGCTGCAGGGAGAGGGGCTCCAGAGCCCCAAAAAGTGAACCCCAGGGGTACAGAGAAGCATTTAAGGAATTCCCACATGGCCAAGCCACGCTCCCAGCCCTGTCCCTGTGCACACGGAGGATACACTGCCCTGGGGAGTGGGTGATGTCCTGGCCAGGGGGAGATGTGCTCTTCAGCTTCTCAGCATTGGGGAAGGGGCTCAGCAGCTGCATCTCGAAGTCCTCACGCCGCTCGTACTCCTTGCCCCGGTAGATGAAGACCTTGTTCTGCAGGGGGGGAAGGTGACAGCTCATCCCTGTGCCACAGAGCGGGGCCAGCTGGTGCTGGTGCTGGTAAGGCTGAGTCCCCTGCCAAGCAGGAGACACCTCCATCCAGAAAAATACACCTCCATGCAGAAAAAATGCACCTCCACGCAGAAAAATACACCTCCATCCAGAAAAAATACACCTCCATCCAGAAAAATACACCTCCATCCAGAAAAAATACCTCCCCAAACCCAGCAACTAGAGGAAAAAAGAAGAAGGCACATGGAGAATCAGGATTGGTGCCAGCCAAGCAACATCACTAAGGGCAACTCCTCTGTGACAAATTCGGTGGCTTCTACAAGGGTGTGGCAGCATGGGTGGATGGGGGGAGAGTGACTGGGCTTGTGCAAACCATCTGACCTTGGGATGTCCCCTGGATGGGACAGATGCTGGCTAAGGAACAGGCTGGATGATGACACTCAGGGAGTTGTGATCCACATCTCCACATCCAGGGGGAGACCAGTGAGGGGTGGGGTTCCTTGGGAATCGAGGTGGCAGCTGTGGGGCTGCTCCTGGTCTGTGGGAACCCAGAGCTTCCCTCTGGCTGTCCTGGGACCCTGGCAGGGGTCAGGAACCCCCCTGGACAGAGCCCCCAGAGACACTGGCTGTGATCTCTGTCCATGGAAAAGAGTTTTGAATCTTACAGGATGAATTACCAGCTCTGAGTGTTTGATATCAGTAATAATTAAGTGTGGCATGGGTGCAAAAGTAAAATTTTAGGTTTCTAGATTAGGGCTCCAAAGGGGACAAGATGGAGGAAATTGGGTGTGCCTTGTCCTTTTTCTCCTTCTTCATGCCCTCCATGTTTCACTGTGCTGTTGGCATTTTTCTGTTGGTTTAGGCTGGGGACACACTGTCCAACGTAGGTGACAGATATTGGCACGTTATTGTAAATCCAGCACAGGTAGTTTGTGGTATTTAATGTTTGTACCATCCCACTGAGGGCAGAGCCCCACACGCTGCCCT